CAGGGCTCATTGATCATCTGCGAATTCCTCCTGCAAAACGGAGCCGACGTGAACCAGAGAGACAGCCGGGGCCGGGCGCCCCTGCACCACGCCACGCTTTTGGGCCGCACCGGGTGAGTCACAGGTGCCCCTCCTGCTCACCTTCGGACCCTGTGGCTTGGGTGCGCCCCAACTCATCTCCTCTGCCCCTCAGCCAGGTCTGCCTGTTCTTGAAGCGGGGTGCCGACCAGCACGCTTTGGACCACGAGCAGCAGGACCCGCTGAGCATCGCGATCCAGGAAGCTAACGCTGACATCGTCACGCTGTGAGCGCTCGCGTGGGGTTTGGGTGCCGTTGGGGGTGGGGAGCAACCTGGGGCCCTGGGGGGGCGCCCTCACACACCGCTTCCCTCAGGCTACGTCTGGCGCGCATGGCGGAGGAGATGCGGGAGGCCGAGGCACCCCCGGGCCAGCCAGGCCCCCTAGCGGGCAGCAGCCCTACCGAGCTCCAGTACCGCAGGTGCATCCAGGAGTTCATCAGCCTCCACCTGGAGGAGAGCTAGGGTGGGTGGGCCTGCAAGTGGTGAAACCCAGCTGCCTGGCCCAATTCTGAGAGTCCTGGGGCCCCAGCAGCCTGCTCTGCCCTCCTTGGAGCTGTCCGGAACCCCAGGGCCAGGGGAGGGACCCCAGTCTTCTGAAGCCCCGCGTTTCCCCAGAGGTGCTGACCCTATGGCTTCAGGTGACTCCTTCCTTGGGGGCCTGGGCTCCTCATGTCACAAACCACTCATAAGGCTCTGTGTCACCTTGTGCCCCCGTCCCCAGGGCCCATGTAACTTTGTGTCCCTCTGTCCCTGGGGCCCATGTCACCTTGTGTCCCTCTGTTCCAGGGACCTGTGTCACTTGTGTCTCTCTGTCCCCAGGGACTGTGTCACCTTGTGCCCCCACTTTTATTGCTCCAGACACCGACCTGCTAGTTGGGTCCCTCCTACACACCCCCAGAGCCCCTCCACTAGGCCCTGAGGCTGGTGGCTGGCCACCAGCCCCTTGCGAGGGCAGAAGGGGCAGCCCATCCAGGGAATCAACCCGTGTACCTCACTTAGTGACCCCAGCGTCCAAGCTGGGCTTCTCGGGTGCTGGGGGGGATCTGGCGTGGGGTCTCAGCCCTCGCTGGACGCAGGCGTCCCAAGGCCACGTGGCTGGCCACGCGGACCCCATGCCGGGAGGCCCTAGAGGGGTCCCTGCCTCCTCTGGAAGTACTTGGCCCAGAGCAGGTGCATAAAGGACTTTGGCACTTTGCACCCCTGCATCCGGTGTTTTGTCATGGACTGAGTGGATTTTCTGCAGCCGCCTTGTTCTCACATCTCCCCTTTTCTCTGTGGACTCTGGGGACCACCTTGACCCCAGTTCTGTCTGCTGCTAGGGGGAGGCCCCTGCAGCTCTGCCCCCCACTTGCCAGCTCACTGCTTGGGCTAGGCCCTCGGATGGGTCTAGGGGTCCCTCAGCTCCCTCCCCAGGGCCCACAATGCCTTCTGCCTTCCCTGTTCCTGGAGCCCTGGGGCAGCAGCTGGGCCTCTCCCAGACTCGGGTCCTTGATCAGGCCAAGGCCAGTCGGCTGGTCACTATGCAAAGGCTGCCCAAGGAGGCTTCATAGGTGGCAAGGTGGGCACTGCCTGGGTCCCTCAAGTCCCTCGCCTGCTGGCTGTGACCCCTAAAGAGCAGAATTAACTCCTTTCTCTTTCCCTGCTTGAGCTCTGCCCCACCCCACTGCCTGTCAGTGCCTCCTGCCTGGGCCTCAGGCTGGTGGGACCGCCCACTCCAGATCACTCAATAATAAACTGCCGCTTGCACCGCTGCCTGTCATTGGCTCACCTGCCTCACTCTGCTGTCTCAGCTGGGGAGGGGGTATCTCTGGGCCCCCTGGCTTAACTTAGGGGTGGCCCTGAGTGGGGTAGCACCAGAGCCCCCAAAAGATGCAATAAGCCGGAACCCAGGAGCCTGATGGGGGGTCTGGGCTTCTTTGATGAAAACTGACTCCTGATACCCCAGCCCCCATTCCCTGGCCCCTCTGTTCTTCTCTGGCCTGGACAGTGGCTCCTGGTAGGAGTAAGGGTGGATGCCAACTGGCACGGATGGTCTGGGCTTGGTCTTGTCCCCTGGGGAAGCCCTAGACCTGCAAGGTGGCCCCCTGCTCAGTGTCCTCCTGCCCCCCAGCCCCCAAAGTGTCTGTGGCTCCAAGGAGTACGGAGGTGCAGTCTAAGGTTTTCAGCTCATTTGGAAGGGTGACGGGAGGCACGCACATGTTCCACCCACCAGGTAGAACTGCTGGGGGTTTTTTATTTTTTAAAACATTTTTAACCCTCACCCAAGGAAATTTTTTCTGTCGCTTTTCAGAGAGAGTGGAAGGGAGAGAGGGAAAGAGAGAGGCACACATACACGTCGATTGGTTACCTCCCGCACGCACCCCAGTCGGGGTGTGGGGATCAAGCCTGCAACCAAGGTACGTGCCCTTGACGAGAATCGAACCCAGACCCTTCAGTCCGCAGGCCAATGCTCTAACCACTGAACTAACTGGCCAGGGCTAATTGCCAGTTTTAGTACAAAGCAGGCCAACATTACCACCTGGCCCTACCCTTCCTCCCACCTGCCCTGAGCTAAGAGAAGCTCTGCCTGATGCCTGCACACCTACCCATAGGTGTAGGCAGACATACTGACACAGGCAAACATATAATACCAAACACAGACACACTCCTCCGTGGAGGCACCCCCCACGCATGCACATTTGCACGAATGCACATGTGCACTCGCCCCTGCACACATGCATGTATGCATATGCACATGCATACTCCCATGTGTGCACACAGACACATGCATGAGCACTCAGTCATGCCTGGAACATGGGAATCCAAAGTGGTGGGGACACTCCTCTCCTCCCTGCCCTCGGCTCCTTGAGAACTGTGAGGCCACCATGGGACAGGGTGGCTGTACTGACGAGAGGCCCTGATGTGCTGGGCACCCTCATGCCTGCCTGCCAGCCCATGGGCTCCAGTGCTGCTGCTTCCTGGGCCCTAGGCTTTGCTTGGCTGGCCAGGGAGGCCCTGTGATGCTAGTCTGGCCCACCCTGGGCAGCCAGGAGAGCCCACTGCTGCTACAGCCCCCATGATCAGACTAAGTTCAGGCTGGTGGCTGGTTCAGGTGTCAGGGGTCTTGGGGGACCCACACTTGACCTAATTCTTCAGCTGAGACTCCTGCCGGAGCCTCGGGAAGCATCGCCGGCTGGGCCCCTGGGCGTTTGAGGTCATGCCTGCAGTCACTGGGCAACTGGTTGGCCTCTGGCTCGGTGTGGGCCACTCCCAGTTGGGACCCTTGCGTGCGGCGGAGCCAGCGCCAGCCCAGCAGCAGGGTGAGGGCCATGGCATCGAGCAGCAGCTCCAGCAGCTCCAGGACAGAGAGAACAGATGAGCCGAACCACAGGCTCCAGAGGCTGCCCATAGCTGAAAGCAGCTGCGGCACCTGTTGGCGTCAGTGGGCAGTGAGCAGTGCACTGGGTCTTTGTGCACCTGTGCTCCCCTGTATGCAAAGCCAGGCTGGGGTGGCACCCCCATGTCTGGCCAGCTGCTGTCCCCTGCCCCAGCCCTTGGACCCTGGCCTGCTCACCGAGTAGACAGGCGTCTCGTCCACTGTGCGATAGTTGAGCTCCTGGTAGAAGATGTTCACCTTGGCCACATTGCTCCTGGGATGGGGCAGACATGAGAGGAGCTGGGCCCCGGGCCTGTGTGTGTGGGGGGGGCTCCTTGGGGGCACTGAAGGGTGAGGTTGGCAGGAGGAGGGGCCCGGACATGACCTCTGGTGGAGGAGGAGTGCACCCACCTGGGTCTCGGGCCCCAGCTAGGGCTCCTGCTCGGGCTCCGGCCAGGGCTCCGGCGGCTCTGTTTGCCCAGCACGGCCAGGATCCAGTCCTGCACACAGAAGGCTCCCTGTGGTCGCTGCTCCTCCAGCCTTCGAGGCACTGCCGGCCGGTGTAAGGCCAGGGACCGCAGGGTCAGGGGCTGGTCTAGGGTGGGCTCTGTGGGACCCACGAGGCCCGTGTGCTTGTCGGCCCCTCACCCCCCCCCACCCCTTCAGGGGACTCACCTCTGCCTTGGAGGAAGGCCACCTGGAGGCCCCAGCAAACAGCTTGTAGGAGGACTCCCTAGGAGAGAGCACGCCCGTCACGCCCCTGTGGGGTGCCCGGGGCAGGAGCCTGGCCCCAGCGCCTACTCACCTGCAGGGCCTGGGGCAGCGCGCGAAGCAGGGGAGCCGGTGGGTCTCCAGTTTTCTGTAGAGGCGGTAGAAGCAGTGGCCTGGGGACGGCGGGGGGCGGGGGGTCACAGGTGAACCCCTTAGGGGAGACCCAGGGGTGGCGGGGAGGTTCAGGGCTG